ACAAGAAACACCAAAGCGCCGAGTTATTAAGACAATTGAGGATGTATGCGAGGAAATTGCAAAAGTAAAGAAATAGGATTGGAAGCAACCAAAGCGACTTTGAATCTCAAGACCGACGAAGGGCTAGAAAGCTTGGAATCTACTTTGCATTCAGGTATTTTTTCTGCCTTGTTCACTTCTTTTATGCTTTCATTCATATCTTAGCACGCATGAAGGCTAACAATGGACTGTATGTTTGTAAAAGATTTTTCATTTTCTGCATGCAGTTTCGATATCTTTGCATGCATGAAGGCTAATAGTGACCTGTTTTTCATAGTGATACTCCATATCTTAGCCTGAATTAAGGCTACGCATTAGGCAGGCCGCCAAGAGCATCATTGCCAGTAGGCTAGCTCCCGGGTGAATCGTTCAGGTCTCTTATGCTATTGGTGTCCTGATCAAACCACTGTCAATTTTTGCATGTAGACGCACATGGTGCTTGAATGATCCCGGACAAGGAAATTCTCGAGATTGTGAAAGAAAACTTCCATATTTCAGGCCTGGAATGATTGCCATTAACTTGGATCTTAAGAGAGGTAGAAATGGCATGGTCTTGAAGGGAGCTGCTTAAGGCCACTTCGGAAGGAATTGAGGTATTGAACCGCAAGATTAAAATAATGCCATACTGGCAAGTGATCAATAATTTGCTTTTTCTTGGTAGTAGCTCTGAGTATCTCAAATATGTTCTTAATGTTGTCTCCTTTTTTACACATTTGTAGTCTTGATTATTAGTTAAACAGGATTAGATTTATAATGTAAATAATGTTGTTTTAGGAGAGAATTCTGTATTGCTTTATGTAAATAAACCCCTGTCGTCAAGGTATATAATTCTTTGTTTATAGTACGTAGTTCTAAGCAGGTAATTATATTCATTTTGTGTTCCCTTGCTGGCTGCTTACCCTCCTTTAATTAGTCAGACCAAGACATCTGATAGGAACTAATCCCCAAATTGCTGCACTTGGACCTTTTCCTTACATTTTGTGTCGTAATATTCAACAGCAAATTTCGCCATCTGTTGACAGTTTCAAGATGAGAAGAGTCATTAAGATCCATGGGAGGTACACGACAGGACGTAGCCAGGTGGAGGAGGACCATCAATATCAAAACCCTAAAAAAGAAGAAAACAAAAATCAATCAGTTATGAGAAACTTCAAACCACAAGAACAAGAACAATTTGTTTGTTAAAAGCATTTCTTAATTACTTTGGATGCGGAAGCAGACTTATGATAGTACAGCAAAAGATTCCTTCTTTCCTTTTTCTCGTATTGCATACACCGAGTATATTCTTCAGGATCGTCTACTACACGCTTAGAGTCCAGCCATCGTCCAACTCAACCACCCACCTATCTTTTTTTAATCTCCTCCTCCTCAACCTCGTCTTTCTCCTCTCCTTCCACGTCCATGACTATAGCTGGAGGAGAGGCAGATAGCTTTATAATTATTTTTTGTGATTTTCTCCTTCTTCTCTACCACCATGGCCATGACTTGCTCGGGATCCTTGACAGTGGACACATCAAGTACAGAGTAATACTCTTGTTTATTAGTTTCGTTCTCCTCTTCAGCATCCAAAGCCACAGCAACGTGTTGATGTAATTGGTCATGATCACCGAAATCAGTGGACACATCAAGTACAGAGTAATACTCTTGTTTTTTAGTTTCGTTCTCCTCTTCAGCATCCAAAGCCACAGCAACGTGTTGATGTAATTGGTCATGATCACCGAAATAAACCTTCACCTCCAATACAGGAGAGACCCTTTTTTCTTGATCGATTTCCTCCTGAACCCCTTTCCTCTCTTCCTCCATGAGTCGTTGAATGTTTTTCAGATAAAAAGGTATCTTTTTAGCGACTTGTTTGAAATCAGTGATAGCAGGCGACTCAATCACACTATAATCCATCATTTCTTTTCCCTCAACCTTGTGATGCAAGGCAGGATTTTCATTTCCATAATCACTAGAAGCCATGTTAGGGGTTGGTTGGTGCTTGCCTGTTTTGGAAGATATTTGCAGATAGAACAAGGAAGAGAAGCTCAGGATGTGTTCCTAATTGAGGATTTATTAAATACAGAGAGGGTGGGAGAGAATCCCACTCGGGCTTAATTCCTGCTTTTAATGTTGTTAATGCTGTCAATATTATTATTATTATTATTATAATTCTAATGATGTTTTTTTTTTTTTTTAAGAATAAGGGGCAAAAGATCTGCTCCATAAAGTAAACTAAACGAAACAAGGGATCACTGTAAAACCATAAAGGGAAAACAGCTCCATTAAAGAATCTCCCACCAAACTTGAAATACCAAATTCTGAAAGCCAATACGGGACAATATCATTGGCTTCTCTTCCAATCTCTTGCAAGTAACTCTCTTTTGCCGTGGAAATCAAAGACAAATTGGCATCAGTTGTGTTTGTAAGAAATGGACCCCCACCTTAGAATCAGCTTCCGGCACCTATCGTCCCGATCAAGCAAGTTAGGGTCCTTTGGTCACTGCCCACATCTGATCAGCTCTAATGGAAGTGCAGTGACCCACGTTAGCAGCAAAACCCCTCAACAACCATATATGTGCCCAAACTATATATCTCCAGAGGAATCCATGCATGTTGAGAAACAAACCCTAAAATTACAATGAAGAAGATGGAATTTGTGTTGGGAGGGGATTAATTATAGTTCAAAATGTGTTTTTATAGCTTGAAGATTCATTATCTATAACGTTATCATAGTTGCTATATATATTGAATGACTTAATTATAACTTTCTTCAAGTATATATTTCCTTTTAATATTTAGCTTTTTTATTTAAGAAATGATCAATGATTACTCCCACAAATTAAAGAACGACAGTTGGATAAGCTAGTCTCTTTCTTTATTCCCCGTCAAAACACCATTGTATAAACAGAAAATATTTCATCTTAGTAACCCTATCATAATTTAGTTTATTTAAAACCATTAAGTCTTAATTAATTGTTATCATTTCAAATAACCGATTAATTTATACCAACTAGAGCAGTCAGTATCATCACTATATATTCAGCTTCAGATATTATTTCATTTTGAGATGACATATAATGAGTAGAATCTCGATCGAGAAGGGTGGACGGAAACTGTTAGTATGATGGTTAAGCATTTATTTAAAATTATGGTAATGGTTGTAATTTAAAGTATTTTTTATTTGAAAATATATTAAAATAATATTTTTTTTATTTTTTAAAATAATTATTTTTAATATCAACATATTAAAACAATAAAATATTAAAAAAATATTTTTTAATAAAAAAATTAAAATTTAAAAAAACTCGATTTCACAATATTTTCAAACAGCCTTCAAAGGGTCCTGTTTTTTTACTGAAAAGTAGTTTTTTTTGGAAAGTGAATTCTAAAAATATAAATTATTTTTTAATATTTAGCAGTATAATAAAAAATAAATTGAAAAATACTTTCTAGTGTTTGGTTATGTCATGGAAAATGAGCTGAAAAAATAACTTATTAATTTTTTTATTTTTTTTCAAGTTTATTAAAAACATAAGGAATAAATCTTACAAATTAAAAAGTTGAATGAGAATGAAATTGAAAAAAAAATATAATTTCATAAATTATCTTAAATAAAATAAATAATAATCAAAATAATAGAAGTTAAATCTAAAAAATTAAAAATTAAAAGATGAAGAAATTAAAATAATAATAATTAATATTTTGTAAATTCTTTCAAATAAAATAAGTAACAATCAAAAGAATGGGAAGCAAATTTAATAGATAAAAATTTTTAATTAAAAGATGATAAAGAAAAAGCAAATAACAATTATAAAAATAAAGACCAAAATTAATATAAAAATTATATTCTAATGGATGAAATTAAAAAGTAAATATTTAAAACAATATATATATATATAGCAATAAAAAGTTTGAGAACTAAATTTGATATAATCAGCAAATAATATGATATTTTTAAATTTTTCATAATTTTTAAAAAGTGTTTTCCGTCTAAAAGAAAAATACTTTTTTAAAAACCAAATTAAATTCTTTTAACTGAAAAATATTTTTTATTAACTATCCTTTTAATATAAATAAATATAAAAAAAATTAAAAATTATATTCTAGAAATTATCTTTTAAAAAACAAACAAAGCTAGATAACTATGCAAATTTGATGTCGGTAATTATCATATAGTAATGTCGACATTACTTTCGTATGCATAAATTCAACTGCAATGATTATTTTTGTTGTGAAAATAGAAAGGTGGGGGGGTTATGGTTTGTCGTTTTTAACCTAGTTAAAAGAGTATTGCTGTCGTTTAACGACGTTGACCTGGTACATGATGGACTCATAATTAATTAAGGTTTCCCTTTCAATTGCATGATTAGAATATTTTGACGAGTCCTCTATCTCTTAGTTGTAAAAATGCATGTTTCTTTCTCCCATTTAGCCCTTACTGGAATGATTTTGCTACGTTGATCTCCATTCCAAAGAACATGTTAAGAAGAAGCGAAGTTATTACAGTCAGCCTGGTTTATTTCTCGGTTCAAGATCTAGATTGTAAGTTAGATGGGTTAATTAAATTAATTCAAAAAAACCATAAACACTTCAAGAATTTATTAAAATATCTTCATTAGGTGCTCTCCACCTATATACAAATCCAAATTAGTTCAAGGAATGATTGAAGAGAAGGTGGGCAATTGATTTTCTCGAGAAAAAATTATTATTTTTGGTCGAAAATCAAACCTACCCTCGCGACGATTAATTATGCTTGGATATGTACACACAGCACAGCAGGCTGCCAGGTTGATCTTCCCAGCGGAGCTTAATTAGCTCTGAAAATCTTTTCATTAGTCTGAAATTGTTGGAAAGTGGTCTGTTTCTTCTACCCTTTGGACAAGAGTGTTTAGCAACTGAGTAGGAACATGATGATATTTCATTAGTTTCTGCTAACAATCTATTAATTTGTAAGAGAACAGAACGGAGACAATGGAAGGTGGTAAAGAGTGGAAGTAGAGCAATCATCTTATTCCACAGTGAAATTCATTTATCTGTAGTTCATCCTTATACAGTATTACATCTCTCTTCTCTTCACTTCTTAAACAATCTCATGAAGTATCAAGGCAGCTCTTCTTGTTTAACTACCACATGTATTCTTATACTGTATGGCAAAAGCATACGGATGAAATAATAAATAAAATAAGCAGCGAAACAAAACAAAAGGCGAGAAAACAGTTGGAAGACTCTTGGGTTTCAGTGATGCTGCCAAGAGCAAGCAAATTATTGATCGCAGGCCATGCCACTTTTACTGTTGGGGCTTCTCAGATTTGAGGGGCTTCACTACCTCCCATGTAAAGTCAGGGTCATCCCTTCCGAAGTGACCATAAGCGGCTGTCTTCAAGAACCTGCCATTGCCACCCCTCTTAAGATCCAAGCTAATGGCTATCATTCCAGGCCTGAAGTCAAATTTTTCCTTCACAATGTTGAGAATCTCCTTGTCTGGGATCTTTCCAGTCCCATATGTGTCAACAAAAACTGACAGAGGTTCTGGCACACCGATAGCATAAGAGACCTGAACAATGCATCGGCGAGCAAGGCCACTTGCAACAATGCTCTTTGCTGCCTGTCTAACAATGTAGGCACCACTCCTGTCTACCTTAGTAGGGTCCTTGCCGGAGAAGGCACCACCACCATGTGCTCCCCAACCACCGTAAGTATCGATAATAATTTTACGACCAGTAAGTCCAGCATCACCGTGTGGTCCACCAATGACAAACCGCCCTGATGGGTTGAGGTGGAAAATGGTCTTCTCGTCAAGATACTTCTCAGGGATGACAGGCTTAATAACGTGCTCCTTGAGGTCAGCAGCAATCTCATCATTAGTAACAGTTTCATCATGTTGCGTAGAGATTAGAACAGTGTGCACCCGTACTGGAACCATAGCACCATTTTCATTGAAGTACTCAACCGTGACTTGTGTTTTGCCATCAGGTCTCAACCAAGGGCAGATTCCATTCTTGCGAACTTCAGTAAGGCGGGCACCGAGCTTGGTGGCAAGAACATGACTAAGAGGCATAAGCTCAGGGGTCTCATCGGTGGCATAGCCAAACATGTGACCTTGGTCACCAGCACCAATCTCCTCAGGACGCTTTGTAAGATGACCATGGACGCCCTGTGCAATATCAGGGCTCTGCTGCTCGATGTTAACCAAGACATTGCATTTGTCCGCATCAAGACCAACATCATCAGAGACAAATCCTATTGAACGGCAAGTGCTGCGCACAATCTTCTCATAATCCACGTTGGCTTTTGTGGTGATTTCTCCAAAGACCATGACCATGTTCGTCTTGGTGCAAGTCTCACATGCAACCTTGCTGTCTGGATCTTGCTCAAGGCAGGCATCTAGGATTGCATCCGAAACTTGATCACAGAGCTTGTCGGGGTGACCCTCGTTCACAGATTCAGAAGTGAACAAAAAGGTTTCCATTCTCTCGACTGCAGAGCAGGAAAACCACACACAAATTTCAATATCTTCAAACAACAGTAATGTCAAAGTATTAAATTAAAGCAAGAATAAGAAGTTCCCATCGCTCGAGCCCAAACAGAATTTCAACCAAATCATGTAAAAGCCTAAAACAAAGATCAAACTAAGCAACACCTTCTGACATACTTAGAGGATCAACAAAAGCTATTCTTATCTCTGGAGATGCATAAACAACCATCTTCCTAGATCAAGAAATGATTAAAAAGAAAGCCCATAAGGGTTTCATGATAATAAAAGAATAAGCTAAAAGTGATCTAAATTCACTTCAAATAAGCTAAAAGAATCAAAATTCAATATCACCAATCCAAAATCTAAATTCCCATGTAGAAAAGCACAAAATTTACTTCAAATCAAACCAAAAGCCAACTCATTTTCACACTTTGACATTACACCAAGTTTAAAACTTCAAAACTCAATATACAGCATCCAATTTCACAACAAAAATAAGAAATCAAGATAAAGAAATGTACCCTTGAAATGAGAGGAGAAAACTCAAGAGAGCAGAGCAGAGCAACAACAGATCTTTGAGCTATTACAGAAGAGCAGAGAACTCTTTGGTGAGTCTCACGTTAAAGCCTTGGCTCCTTATTTATAGACACGACACAACAAGTGGCCCTTCAGTTTCATGCTGGTGTCCTAAGATTTTTGGTCTATTATTGGATGTTGAGTGGGGTCCATGTTTGTGAACGTAAGAGATCTTAGCTGTTGGATATGAAAAGTGGAAGGTGAGGATTGATTTGAGTCGGTGGAGATAATGACAGGGAACAAACCCACTGATAAATTACGAGGGGGAGAGAGAGAGAGAGCTGGTGAAGAGATGGCTCCTTGATTTTTTCACCAACCTCCATCTTGTATTAGCCAATCGAGGTATTGATTAACCATGGAGACCGAATCTCAAAATAAAAGTGGGTTTGGTTTCTTGTTTCTTAGACTTTTCAACCCATGATCGTTCCTCTCTTTCTTTAAGAGGAGTCTGCTTTCTATATCTTGCTTCCATCAATAATATTTAATAAGAAAAAATTAATAATTTATAATTTTTAAAAATTTATTTTTCAGATCATAACAGTAAAAACTAAAAAAATGTCAACACAATGGATCCGTTTTAAAAAAGAAACACAAATCAAATTTATAAAAAAATCTTATACAGTAGTACTTCAAGATCCAAAGGATGTGTAAGTGAATCCCAAGGTGATTAAAAATATTTCCCATTTTAATATAATGTGAAGTCAAGAGCATATGCATGGCTGATGGCTCCTAATACCGTCTCGGCCATGCCTCTTACTTTAGGTCCAAATCTGGGGTCATGAAACCATGTTCTTTCCCTGCCTGCCGACACTCGGAGTTATGAATGCAGCTACGCATTTACGGTCTGCACATGGGAAAAGAAAGGAAAGACGGTTCCTTCCATGCTGTCTTGCCAAGAAGAAGAAGAAGAAAAGCATTTAATGAAAGAAAATCCTTTGACTGAAGTACTTCCATGACAGAATATAGTAACCTTTTTGTGGTGGTGTCATGTTACTGGTTTTCAGGATGCAATAATCATTCAGCTTGCTAACTATTCGGGACGTTTTAATAAATAACAAAAAAAAAGAGACAGTTTGATAAAATAAAATAAAACACGTCGTAAAAATATTTAAAAAATAATATAATTTCAACACAACTGTGTAATTCTGAATATTAATTTTATAATAATTATTATTAGAAATAGTAGTTGTTTGCTCAAAAATCGAATATGTATTTTTTTTACAAATTAATTAACACATAAAATTAACATAAAAATTAATTTATAAAAATCAAATGATATTAAAGATCCAATAATAAAATAATAATAATAACAACAACAAAAAAAAAAAAGATAAGTTAAAGTGGCATAAGAGAAAGAGAAAAAAAAGAATAGATTGCCAAGGATACATTGACTCTGTTTTTTATACAATTAGTATTATTAAAAAAATTCTGATGAGATAATTTTAACCATGTCATGAAAAATCATTGAATGAAATTATTATTGATTAAAGATTTTGTTTTGGGTTAATTTTAGGCTAACATATTTTAGAGTTTAATTAACCCCAAAAAAGACAACCAATCAATTATAGTAGCATTGTTTGTTGGTTTTCTATTGTGTGGTTAGAACTTAGAATTATGTTGGTCAGAGTTTTTTCTAATACTACGAGGTGTGGAAAAAATAAAGTTATTATGTGTTTCTTATCTATTTTTTTATCCTTTCCTTTTCTTTTTCTTTTTATTTCTCTCTCCTACATATCAATTTATATCCTGTCTTATTTTATTTTATGACCATTGTATTTTTATATAATTTTATGTTAGATTTTTGTACATGTTAAATAATTTCATTTTTAATTTCTTGAGTAAATAACCTCTATTTCCGATAGCAGTTGTTGCTAAACCAATATTCTGAATCATGATTGTTGAAAAGTCATATTATTTTTTAAATATTTTTATAATCTATGTTATATTTTAAAAATTTTACTAAACAGTATAAAAAGTCAGACACCCAACCTTAAAACTGACCCAACAAAACATTATCTTGCTCTTATCTCTAGGTTAACCATTTGAAATACACAAATAGTGTTTGGGAGTGTTTATTAAAAAACAATATTAAATTGATATTTTTTTAGTAATTTTGATGTGTTAACATAAAAATTAAAAAATACATTAAAAAATTATTTTTATATATTTTTAAACAAGAAAAAAATATTCAAAAACAGATTACAGCACAGTACCATAATGTAATCCACTTTCCCAAGTGGAAACGGTTCTCTTCTATATATTCTGGTCTTCAAATTAAGAAAAGGTTTAACTCGTGACAAGCCTCTTTGAGTTGTTGGACGGTTCAAGTGATGATAATCGCTTTACAAATTAAAAAGTGGATATATATATATATATATATATATATATATATATAGTTCTTAACAAATTGTTCAATGATAATAATTCCATTGACTAGTGTGTGTGTGTGTATATATCCACGTTTTAATTATCCCACGCCTCTATACATTTTACCTTGAATGGACAAACAAAAAATAAAATCCGAAACAGCATTGTAAAGATTCATATGAAGTTATAACTTATTATTATTTGTCGAAGTTATTAAACCTGATTTAACTAATTACCTATTCTAGAACTTGTATTATGGATTAAACAGGTCGATATAAATTAATTAAAATAATATTTCTTAAAAACAGATTAAAAGAAACATCAAACTGGGTTTTTTGGATCAAGGCAGCCACCATCAAAAAGACTTTTAACCTGGCCCGGAACAAGTGTGTGATGTGGGTTGGTGAATTTGGTGGGTCAGCAAGGTAGGTAGTAGGTACACTCAATATCGAAACAGGTGGTGACATGGCAGGCAACAGTTGAATTCCTTCTCTTCTTCATCATCTCGCTCAGGCTACATGCATCGCTGCTAAAAAGATTAGATGAAAACCACGTCTCAAGACATGTTTCTCTGCAAACATGGCAAGAACACACAGAATCTCAGCACGTTAAGAAGATTCAGAGTCATCTACGAAGTGGGATGGGATCGGCTTAGTTATCCCTTTCTGACTGATCACTCTTCTACTTCCAATGATCATGTGTAGGCAAGGCATGCATCCTCTGTATATCCTTCACGTTTTCTTGCTCGAGAAATCTTTCGCGCCTGCTTGCATGGAAGCGCCTGTCAGTCAACCTTCTGCATCATACAAAAGATTGTGTTTTTGTTACCGTAGACCGCATGCATGCCAAACAGCTTCTAAATCAAACAGATTAAGGTGTGAAGTTAAGAGAGAAAGATAGGCTAAAATACTGGAATATTAGCAAGAAATTCAAAGTAAATTCACATCCACCTATATTACCTGAAAAACTATTTTTTTTCCTCCTTTCGAACAATGAAAGAATCATTAATTTTAAAAAACATAATTCCCTAGGGAGATAGATTGAATTACTCGAAGATAAGCTTAAAGTTCTTCTGCTCTAGGGCTGGCATGTTGCTGCATCTTCTGTCTGGGTCTTAACTTTCTGGGCTTGGTTGTTTGAGGATGTTCCCTCTCTCATCTCCGAAGCTTAGTCGGTTCATATCAAAATAGCTGCTGCTAACCACCGTAGCATATTATGGACTGGTCCTTCACTTAAATTGATCTTGATTTGAAGTGTATTATAGCCGCCAGCGCGTAACCGCAGGGGGAGAAAAAAGAAGAATGCGGTGAGCGTGGATCGAACACGCGACCTTCAGATCTTCAGTCTGACGCTCTCCCAACTGAGCTATCCCCGCCTTCATGCTGATCATAACATATCTTTTAATAAAGAATCATGGCTATAATTCCAGCATTGTTCTTCTGTGTGTGGCAGTGGATATTGGTTGTTTGTGAGCTTAAATAATCCATCTTTTAAAATCCATATAAGATTAGTCATGATTCGGCAGTGATCTAGTCCAAAAATGTGATGGGAATGGGAAAGATTAATAGTTATTAGAGAACTGGAGAAAAATAAAAAGGGAGCAAAAATCCAAAAGTCTAAATAGAAGATGAACGGTGGGAGTAGGAATAGTAGTTCCTATTTGCAAGCCCTATGCATTTGCTTGCTGAGACAGTGTTCCATATGCTAAAAAAGAAAGTTAATCTCTTCTGTTGCAAGCCCTACCAAAGAAGACAGGTCGTTTGTAATATAAAGATTATAGTTTAACTAGTGAAATTTTAGGTTTATTTTTTTAAAATTATTAATTTAAATCTTACGTATCTCAAGACTACTAAAAATTTATATCATTATTAATTTTAAGATCAACAAATTAATTAAGATGTATATAAATGGCTGGACACTAACGTTAATATAAAATAAAAAGTCATTTGAATTTAATGTCCTTGATTTAATAGGCTATATATAATAGAAACCGTATTCAAGATTTTGTATAGGAGCTCGGATTCCAGTCTTTTCGTTAGAGTTAAGCATAGATGGAATCTCTTACTGCAGCGAATAAAGGAATAAAAAGGGCTATCTAATGGATATAATGCAAGCAAGGAATCCTCTTTTTGAACTTCCACGCGCAGAATAGTATATTAATATGATATTTCCAACTCAACCAAATTGTACTCAAAAAGTAGTATTTTGGCAAAGGAAAAAGGAACCAAGTTTTCTGCCATTTTCCTAAAACAAAACAGTTAAAGTTCCAAAAGCTTGAAACATTCCTGGTTAATTTTTGAGGGAGATAGACCTCTGATCATCTAATGTACTGACAATATGTATGCCTAGTAGCAACAAGCCCTAATATCCACGCAAAAAGATACAAAGTAAGTCTGGTGCTGGCTCTTTCTATACTCACAAACTAGCACTTCCACCAAGCCTTCATGTAAGTTCATCATTTGCGGTTGTTTTGGGTCATCACCAAAAGCTTTCGGCCTCCCCCATTTTTCCAAACTCCATGAACTGGCAACACCACAGCTATATCTTTGTTCACATCTGCTTTCTCTTCTTTTTCATCAATACCAGCATCAGAATTACTAGCATCTGGCAGTGAGGCAGTGGAAGTACCCCCGAGACGGTTCTTCAGGAACTTCATGGTTTTTTTCCGAGGTTTATTCTTCCCTCCTCCCCCAGCCCCCACATTCTTCTTCAAGCTGACACCAGCTGCCTGAGCAGCGTGTTCACTCTTTGGCTCCCTTGACAAATCCAAGTTAGCTTGTTTGTCAACCAAAATCTTTGATTTGCCTTTTCCACCACAATCCCCATCCTTTGGTAAGATCTCCACCCTAAGACTATCTGAAAAAACGTTCTCAGAGCCACTGATAACATTATCATCACACTTCTCTTTGCCTTTCTTTGAACATTTCTTGCTTTTGGATGGACCATTGTCAATGCCCAAACCATTCCCCCCCACATTGAAATTATAAATCTCAGTAAGCTCTCTTTGCTTCTCAGCTTTGGGACAAAGTCTAGCCAGCTCTAGGACAAGATGTGACAGGCCAAATTGATGCACATAGGCAAGATACTCTGCAACATCAATTATATCTCGGTGATACTCTCTGGATATTATCTTGAATGCAGCGAATTTGTCCTTGTCAAATTCCAAAGCAGCATGAATTTTCTCCACTAGAGCCTTATTAGCAGATTGAACATCCTTAACCTTCAGCATAGGTGAGGCACTTGTAGACATATTGTCTGCTTGAGTGGCAGACAGAGGGGGAACACTTGAAAGAGATTTGTGAGAAGTCCTGTCTGCAGGATTTGAAGCATCGCTAGCTTGGCTGACCTTGCTGTTACTATTTGAAGTCCTTGATGAACTTGCAGAATTAGAAGATACAAGAAGTTCATTAGCCCTTGATGACCCAGCCTGAGGAGAGCTCGTGTAAGTAGATAGAACAGATTCTTTAACTGTTGCTGGCTTACTCTGGGATGAACTCAGAGATCTGGATGAAGAGAAAACCCTAGAATCTGACACAGGTCTTGACTGGTACGAAATACTAGCTAATGAGTTAGGAAGATTGTTTGCTGCTGGCAAAGCCCGAGAAGAACTAAGAACTTTTACCATGTTTTGGCGGCTGAGGTGAGCAGCCATTGTATTCCCACTCAACCCTCCTGAACCATTTCTGGATCTCCGTTGGCTGCTTCTTGGAGCCAAAGGAAGTGGGGGAAAGGATGTTTCTTCCATTGGTGCTCTGCTAGTGTTCCATCCTAAAACATGATGATATCTTGAAGGCGGCTCAGAATCTGTGGTGGCTAATGACTCAAAAGGGTTAACAATCATATCAATTTCATGTTCCTCTCTATGAGCAGAAACTGTTTGCGCATTTAATGAAATATTGCAAGACCTTTCAGCATTGGCAGTCTCAAAACTATCTTCAATGGCCATGTTCATTTGATAGCCTGACGAATTTGAATGACTACCACGACCACCACCACGCCGATCATGTTCATTAATTTGCCGAAACTGGAAACTCACAGGTATCTGGATGTAGAAAATGAAGGTGGCATGTTATTATCCACATTATAAAGAATAAAAATCATTAAATGATCATGAATGGCTACAAAGAGCTCAGGTGTGGTAGACTTCAACATAAAATGAAGAACATGGAAAAAGCCGACAACATTGGTAACGTGAAAGAATTCAAAAGATAAATACACACCTGAAGTAGAGCACTACGCTTAGAACGAGACATGCGCCCTCCATGTTCCATGGCATTATGCCTCTACCAATATCAGAAATACGCAGGTCTTCTTAGTCATATAGTACACTCTAGAAAACATAAAAACTGAATTTTAAATATTGACAACCAAAACAAAATTGTGTATCATGAATTCTGATAGATATCACCTTCAATTCAAATTCAGTTGCAAAAACAATAAACTTTCTTGCAAGGCAAGCCTCATCCTCGCATAAGTAATGCTCTTGGCGAAAATGGATCTGAGACATAAAGTCTCGGATGTTAATTAAAAAACTAAGAGTAACCATGACATACAGTAAAAAGCAAGTGACTAAGAAATGTGCAAACAAAATATAATCAACCTCCAAGTTATCATAATTGTTAAAGTACTCATATTGTCCAGGATGCTGCCTGCGTTGAACAAAATAAATTGGACATATGAAAGTGTAAATTTGATAGAACAAAATGCTAAATTTTCTAAGGAAATATGCATGGGTTTACCTTTGGCATATGTGGCAAGTAAAATGATCAGTGGACATGTGCAGGTAAAGCTCATTATCTCCATAAAAAGGATTCTCACAGAACTCACACATAGGATGTCCTGTAAATCCACCTCTTTCGCTTTCATTGCCATCAACCACTGAGTCACCCGTCCTCACATGTTGAGTCAATTGTGCTCTATTATATAACTTCTGCTCACTTATAAATATCTAGTTCAAAACTTAGTTAAGTCAGAGAACACAAGTGTGGCTACCAAAGCAGAGATCAAGAATTAAAATTTTACATGATACGAGACAATCAAATCCTACAGTTCTTCTACATGGAATAATCTCAAAAAGCTATGAAACATAAACCATTTCAGAATCTCATATTTCAACTCTCCATTGATGCTCATTCTTCAAATACAAAGCTAACAAGCAAGGTTTAACAATAAATCATCATATCACATAAAATATGGATTTAAGGAAAAATATCTCTCACCTTCCTACCTTCCAAACACAGACTGCACATAAACAGGCTATGCCTGTGAAACAAATGAGCCTTCAATTGCTCAACGCTATTAAACTCCTTTGACCCTCCATTCTTCTTGTTGCAAACATTGCATGATAACTTGCACATAGCTTTGATCATCTTATAATGATCAGAATCATCAAAATAAGCTTTTGTCCCTTCATGATACCAATACTCCCCTGCTTTACCCTCACTTCCATTAACTTCTCCTAAACCCTTGAAGTCACTTATCATCCTTGTATAATCCCCTAATGCCTACAAAAAACCAAAACCCAAAAATTTAAAAGACCAAAACTTCACAGTATATAAATCAAAACCCATATATGAAAACCATCATAAACAACAAAAAGACCGACACTTCTCAGAAAAAAGATCAAAACCCAGAAATAAAAAGAAACATAGTAGATGAAATAACTAACCTTAGTGACAAAGATGGTGTTGGATTCTGATTTGCAAATGCAGCAACAGAAATCATTGCAAATGAAACGAAGACGAATGATGCAAGTAGAGCAGACTTCTTTATGGAGACATGGTCCATAAGCAACCCACTCAAGGGTATCAGCACAAACAGCACAAGTATCATCCATTCTTTGATCTATGCAGAGAGATTTTGATCAAATTTGTGAATAAATCAAAATGGACTTCTTATTGTTTGTTCTTGTTGTCAATGTTCATGCGAAGCTAAAAGCTTTTGATTTTGATGCAGAGAACATTCTGGGTTTTTTGGCGTTCTCCTTTTCGGGAAGCCAAACGGAAATTGATCGAGAGCTGCAAAGAAAATGAAGAGTCAGGGGACAGGGCGTATGTTTATGGGGAAATGGTGCATGGACGACTAGTCGTTCGTGCAATCACTTGACTCTAGGATTGGAATTATAGCGTTTCAAAAAAAAAATGAATTTTTTTCTAAAAAAATTATTTTTTATATTTTTAAATTTTAAATATATTAATATTAAAAATAAATTTTTAAAAAAATATTATTTTAATATATTTTCAATTAAAAAATATTAAAAAACTACTAATAATATTTAAAAAATCAGATATAATTAAGATATTTCACAATTTCATTCGATTAATATAACTAAACTTATTAATATGCTAATTCAAAATTTAGTTCAGATTGAGATTTAAAAATAAATATTTTTTAAAACATTCATATTATTTTTTTGAAATAATTATAATTTAAATTGATTAGTTAACCCGTATCTTTGATCAATTGGACCCAAGTTAAGTATGCAACTGTGCATTATGCATTTAAGCCTCCTATTTAACTGTAACTGTTCGTGCAAGTTAGAAAAAATCATGTCTACAGAGATGAGAAGGCATGGCTCCGCTTCATCCAACAAGGAATCCTGAAACAATTCTGTAACTGGCAATGGGATTTGTATTTTCATGTGAACTTCTTCTCTTTTTTTCAGTCTAGTATCTGCATGATGCTGTATGGATTATAACACAGAGAAGAGAGAGAAAGCTTCTCTTTTCCTGCCTGTCAAGATCTGTGAAGCGGGGGGGAGGGGTGGTGCTTCAAAGACAACACCATTAAGGAGGATGTAAAGAACTAGTAATAACTTGAACATAGATCATCTATTGATAGGACTTGTTTACATAGTACTGACTAGTTTGAAAGGCAAGCCCTTCATAGATCAACTAGCTAATGATAGACCAGAAACATAGACCATGGAACGTAGATACTAATGCACGAAGAGCCATAATCTTCAAAACAATCACACAAGACCAAACAAAAGAACAAGACATCAACTGAAACAAACTTATTGAAACTTCCACAGCTAAATCAGGTTCACGCCCCTGAATGACAGCCTCAAACCAGACCGCCAGACAAAACTAGGTCAGGCCTCTTGTTCATGGTGGTGAGCCAATGACACCAGTACCTGGGATCCTGACACAACCAACCCCAGGGTAAGAGCAAAACCCTGATGGCCCAAATGCAAAGACTGGGCCATTAGGAGTTGGGATAAAACCACCACTGGTACCAAAGCCCCCTATATAGTTCTGGGGGTGGTCAACTTTCTCCTTGGTGTCCTTCAGTTTCCTTCCTGCTCCAACATTCGAGGCAAGAACCAACATGAAAATGGCAAGGATCAGAAGCATCTTTTGAGTTCTCTCCATCTTAGAACTTCTCTCAACACTTGGCATAGACACTCTCTACTTTTCTCTCTTACTTGCTATGTAAAGAACCCTAGCCATCCCCACCCATCTTATAGCACACGAGGCTCCTAATTTAAGCAAGTGTATAACCAACTCTTTCACAAATAGTAGTAAACATGGAAAATAGTTGGATATGATAGTTACTGCATATGTAGATAACAAAATTGAAGTCTTGGGTCCATCACTGTCAAAAAGATTATTCCATCAACCATTCACCAGCTCAAATCATGTAAAAATACTTCAATAACCTTCACTTTTTCGGAACATTATTGAAGCTTGTCTTCTATTTCTAATTCTCAAGAATCATAGTTCACAATCCTTAAATACTAATTAATTACTAACTAACCGCTGTTAATGGGAGCTTTCTGGTCTGTAACAAAATATAACATTAAAGCATCTAGTGTTAGAAGTTACGACAGCCTGCACTTTAAGGGCAACGTGGTCCTCTGAGTATTGAGATTCTTCCATTTCTCAAATACCTGAGCTGCCTACAAAGTTATGAACTGTAAATTTAAGCCTGAAGTGAAGGCATTGGTCTTGGAATTTAAGAGGGCCTCACCTAACAAAAACTAGAAGCTATAAAGGCCCTTTAAATGCAAGACCTCTGTTTTACTACAGTTAATGTAACCTTCCATTTTCCTACTCGCTGGATCACATTTACTCACTACTAACACATTTCTACAAAAGGGTTTCGCTGCAAGGAAGGCAGCTCGTAAATTTGTGACAAGAACTGTAAAATATCAGGTTGGTATGGATCTTTGTTGGAGGGAAAGTCCATCGGAAACGAGCGAGCTGCACTACCGTAACCACTCCCTTGCCATGATCATTAGCCAGCTGCTACCCGCTTTGACAGGGGGGGAGGAACAAGTTATTTTGTAGTCATGACAGGAAACTGAACTGGCCAGACGAAAATGGGGCTGGTGGTATTTGTTGCTAGAAAACTGGGAGAGAGAGTTTGGTGGTCGTGCAATAACTCTTATTGGTATCCCTGGCGCACTACGAGTCTAGTACCTATTATAAGATCACTTTTACATACCCTTACTCTCCCAAAACCCTCCAAACAGATTTTTTTCCTTGAACTAATCCAGCCCATATGAATCAACAAATACAAGCACTTTCGACCCTCAAGTGCCAGCGTCTGTCGGTTAACATCAACTAGACTTGGAACGCCACTTTCTAGTCTCAAACAGACTGACAGGAAAGGCTATAGAAGGCCGGAGGATTCATAAGCCATTGGGTTGAGATTTGTGAACCAACAGAAAGTAGGCAAGACTCTGCTATGCTTTGATGCGCCAATTTATCGGCAAAGAACGAGAATAAATTCAATAAATATAAGATCTGATAGCATGAAGAGATGTGGCTTGGGAATTTCATAGGAAAATAACAAAAGTGACTCACTCGAACAATAAATTGATAACATGCAATTATAAAAAGTTTAAATCGTGTCATGCATATTTCAAAACATTGATTCAAGATTATTTATCATAAGGGAAAAATTGATGCTAAGTCTGCAATAATCCAGCTTGCGCCTTCTACACAAAATTATTTTCTCAGCACACCTTGCCACAGACATTTTCTTGATTCACGCTGACAAAGGAGAAAAACGAGTTGTGAGACTACGCCGTAGACATGATGCAATCAATGGCTTGCTTGCAGATGCTTGTCATTGTGGCCTCGGGCCCATAAACCTGAAAACAAAAGAAATTGGCACAGCTCAGCTTCAAATATAACAAATACAGAAGATTTCCGGATCTGATTCTTCAAAACTGAAGGAATGGTAAAGAAAGAAAACTCTCCAAACACGTAGAGGATCTTGTGTTTTATTCGAATTAATTCATGTTTTTCAAGGTTATGCGCAATTAAACGTTATAGTTAAAAACTCCAGTGACACTTAGCACCCTTGTGTTTCAATTTTACCAAACAATACTGAATATGAAGCGACTTTTCTCCAATTAACAGTATGCATTTCAGCTGCTTACAGTTTTATCTAAATTCAAAAACCAATAGCCCGCAAACTCAAAAGAAATCTAATGCCCAAAGAACTACAGAAAAAATAGTCATTTCATACCTCAAGAGGTACTCCCAATTCCTCTCCCAGAGCACGCATCTTGGCCAAACCAGTCTGATAGTTTGGACCACCTCTTCTGACATAGAGGTGCATTCTTGCTGCCTTTAACTTGGATTCCTACAAGAAGAGGAAGAGTTAAACGTAGAAACACGCAACCTAAACCAGTAAACCATTGACAGCAGTTTGAATTGATTCAATTAGACAAACCTTCTCCCTCAATGCTCGTATGATACCATTGAAAGTAGCAGCAACATCAGTGAAGTTAGCAATGCCTCCTCCAATGAGAAGGGCTCTTTTGCGACCATCAGGATCAGCAGTAGCACACTACATTAATGATCGAGGAATATTTTTACAGTATATATGAGTGACAGCATAATTGTGAGCAAGGATGCAAAAATAGAAAAGGCCTAAATTTATTGTCTCTTACATCAATGACAACTCTTGCATATTGCAAGACCTCCTCCTCATTTGGAGCTCCACTATACTCTGCATAGTTTCCAAGCTCTGATGCATAGCCCAAATCTCCAACCTAGTTAATGGGGGAAAAAAGAGCCTTTACAAGTAAAATCAACAAGCATAGACCTTGCACCAACCAATAAAATAATGCCAAAAATGAGATGAGAGGCAGGTATATGCCATGGAGCACCTACAGTATCAGCATATATGACACTGGCACCACCTCCAGCTACCATCGTCCAGATTCTTCCTTTTTGGTTCAAAACAGTGAATTTCAAAGATGCGCTTGTCTGCAAACACATGAATATGATTAATGCATCTAATTCATGTCCACGTGGATTCCATGTCCATGCTTGAAGCTATAGGCAGTTAAAAGTATGGTGAAACAGGCATTCATGTAATTACCTTTTCATCCAGTGAGTGGATGAAGCTTTCAGTAGAACTCAGAACTCTTCCAAAAGGCAGAGGAAACTCTATGTTACCCCACCTGAATGTACCAAAATATTTTGGATGAGAGACAAAATATATTAGTGATATACCTTAACTACAAACTCATGTCAACTGAAGGTTTCCTGAAAAGAGGGCGTGAATGTATACATACTTCTTGAAGTTCTTAAAAGCAGCAGTGTCGTCCAGCTCTCCTCTCATATCCAGTGGATATGGCTCCCCATTCACCAGTGTAAATGGATTCATCTCTAGAAAACTGAAGTCCAGATCTATGAAGTAAAAGAAAAGTAATCAGAAGTGAATTTATTGCTAGCATGAATTATATTTGGTGTAACAAGTCAGCAACGAGGTCATGTAAAAGCAAGTATTAGATTATTCTCAACCCTTGCAAGATCCTCGATAAAAAAAATAGTTAGTTTCTATTCTATTGTTTCATATACCATAAATTTTAATAAGATTCAAGTGCATGGGATTAAAATTTTGTTCACAAAGTCATGTAATTTCCTACTTTAAATGAATGTGGCAAGAGCAAGCTCACCTTGAAACACAGAAAAGACACCGATGATGAAATCACCAATTTTTCCTCGAATCTGAGATATAGCATTAAAGTTGTATCAGCAAATTCCAAGTATATATGAAACGATTCAGAATGCCAGGTAACAAGAACTTTCAACACTAAGATATTTTAAATAAATCAGAGAGGATATTGTAATTAAATCAAAGAGTAACTAGAATCTAAAGGCATTAAACATGCACCATCAACTAATAAACCTAGGAAACTATTTTTTATCAGCAAGAATCAGATTTTTTTAACCTTATAATAATTTTGATCAGTGAAATATGTTGGATCACTCATCACCAGAATTTATTAAATCATTGGCAAATTTAATATAAAGAAACTCACCTCCAGAGGAAGTGTAGCAATCAAAGGAGCACATGCTTCCAGTGTCATTGGCTTTTCAGTAGGGAGGAATATGGTCTTAACCTGCACAATGCCAGAAAACCAAAACCATGTCAGCATTTAAATTCTAACAGTGATGAGATCCAAAAGTAATAATATGAGAAGAAATGAAGAAGATTTACATTGCGGGCATACCTTATCCCAGTTCTCCTCAATTTCAATACCTCCACATTCTGAAAAGCTAATGGTGCAGCCAAGCCTCTCAGAGACAATTGAAAAGTAAAATTCTTGGTCATGTGGAACAAATGGTTCGACTATAAAGGTAGTTATTGGTGCCTTACAGCCACCCATTTCAACCTAATAAAGCAGATCCAATTTGTCCATCAATAAAATATCTAACCACACAAGCAAAACCAAGAATTTGCCATGCAACTTGATCCAATAATCACCTCAACGCCAAGGCGTGCCTTCACAAAGTCAGCAACTTGAGCTAGATCTAAATTCAAAGCTACCAAACCACTCTTCCCACGCTTTCCGAATAGCATGTCGGGCTTCACAACCAATTTTGTAGATGAAATCCATGGCTCCTGGTTCGTTAACTCCGTGAAATCTGTACCTTGTGTCACCTAGACACAATAACAAACTATCTCGTTACTTACAACATCAAATCCAGAGCAACAGCAATCCCATTACCAAGATTGAATTTTCAACAGACCAAGTAAAAAAGAAACTGCGATTATGGGTAAACACGACTAGAATTTCCATCAAAACCAAGCCAAAGTTACCAACTTCACTAAACTATGGCAACTTTAATCACTACCTCCAAAACAGAACTTTAAACAAGCCCAGTAGAAAATTGAAACCATGTCAAAAACCCAGTTTGAATTCCACCAAAATCAAGCTATAATTCAATCAGATAAGATCCGAATTCCAATCGAAGTAATCAGATTCAACCTTGATAAGAGCATAGAACACCAAATGATCAGAACAAATCATTTCCAAAACTCGACACGACGCAAACAAAACACAAGGACACAGAGAGAGATCAATAGGTTAGAGGTAAGTACGTACCTGAGCAGAGCGGATCAGGAGATCAATACCAGAGAGACGTTTCAAGTGCTCTTTCAGGAGTCTCTTGGAATCATACTCTCTTATCTTCTTTCTTGCCATTTCAACAATTCAAAGATGATCTACAAAACAAACAACGGATAATTTGCTAGCGCTATGTTATTGCAACCCTCTGCTTTATATCAGCAAAGAAACAAAATATTGAATGAATTAATGAAATGAATGATCTTGTTTTGCTTGTAACAGAAGATTTAAAACTCACCAAACAACAGCAAGGTTGTGTCTTGTAAGAGGAAGAGAGGGTTCGGTTGGTTGGTGTTTGGTGGAGCGTGTGGTGGTAGGCGAATTCCACGAGGCGGAAGAGGAGGAGGAGTTGAAATAAATGTTCTGTTACTTTATCCAGTCAGCTATCTACTCAAATCATCATGTGCACTGTGCCCACAAGCATGCACTTGTGTTCAACTGTTCATAAATGAGAATGGTGGTTGTTTTTCATATGGTCCCTCTTTTTTTACAGTAAACTAATTATGGTTACTTTGGGTGAGTTCATGAAATGGGAAATCATCAAAGTGGTTGACCCATTGCTTATGTTTTCCTTAGAAACTCATTAAGGTATTCTCTGATCAATAAAGATTGAGTTTTTTTCAAATAATTTTAGAGATACATCTTTATATTTCTCTTATAGATTTAGAGAGAACATAATTATTTTCTTGGAGTTGAAACTCAAAAATTTACTAAAATAATGATTTTTTTTATCGTTGATGTAATTAATAACAATTAAGTTAGGGTTTAATTACTGTTTTGGAATAAGAAAAACAATGAAAGCATAGGAGTCAAGACAAGACAATGAAAATAGAATTGCGTGGAATGACATAATAAAATATAAAAAGATATATTTTATGTGTAATATATATTATTATCAAATTTATATGGTTAAGAAATAGTTATCTAGTATTTTTTTTACTTTAATTGTTTATATTCAGGGTTGAAATTAATAATAGCATAATAATCCTAGTTATAAAACCTATATCAATCTAATAAGTATTTTTAGTTGGGGTTAGTTTGAAAAAATATATATTTGATAAAAATTATAATTGAAATTGAAATTGAATAAAAAATAATTTAATATATTTAGTTAAAAAAATACTTTTCAAATTAATGTTATAAAATAATTAAAAATATTAATATTAATATTGATGGTTTTAATTTAAATATTATAAATTTAACTACTGTTATTACATTATGAAATAAATAATATTGATATCAAATATTTTTTATTACTTAATTAAACTATGTGTAATTTCATTACGTACAAAAATCTATCAAATAAGGACTATATTTTCCATGGTTTTTTAAAAGTACAATAACAAAAACTGAATTTTTTGTTATATCATTAGGTAATCTCTTTTTATTTTTTTAAATAAAACATAAATAAAAAATAAAACACAATTTTTTTTATTATAAATACTATTTGGATAAACAATGCCCAGATGAATTAATTCATTGGGCATTAGACATGTCCACGTAATAAGCAATTAAGAGCTATTTCTGATGAACAAGTATTTTTAACAAACCTGCAATATAATAATTGATGTTTTATCGTTACTAAATGTATTGTTTAACAGTTTTTATTAAAAATAGTTGTAATCCCGTAAACAAACAGTTTTTAAATAACCTGAAACTTGGAATCTAAATCAATTTAAATTTAAAAAATAAAAAAGAAATTAACTTGGTCTACTCTAGCCTACTCAGAAACCAAGGGTAAAAATTTATAAGAAATAAATTGTTTAAGACAATGTTATTTTAATTAATTTTAAATTATTTTTTTAGATTAACTTGAATTAACTATTTTGGTTGATTACCCAAGTCTTATCTCAGACCATATTATAAAATTATAATGATAATTATTTTTATTATTATATATTTTTGTTGAATAATTTAAAAATTAAGAGTTTTTTATATTAATATGTTAGGGATAAAACATGATAAACATTATCTTTAAACACATATATTATCTGTATTTCTTGTTTTAAAAATACAAAATTAACTTCAAAATTATGTCCTGGTTGATTTATTTTATATCCTTGTTTTTATTTTTATTTTTATTTTTCTTTCAACCAAAAACATTTGTACTCTTACAGTTTTCGTCATTTGATCCACTATAGCAACCAAACTATACCTAAAAGCTTGGCCAATATACTTTTCAAGGGTATCTATGCTTCTCAGAATAAACTGCATGAATGTTTTTTTTTTAAAAAAAATAAAATGATCGAAGGCTTTATTCTAGTCTTGCTTGCCGGGGGCTTTCTTTTTTTTTTTAAAAAAAAAAAAACATTTTATCTTCAAATCCGTTGGAAACCACTGCTCATTGGCACTTGAAAACGCAATTCCGTTTCTTCCTCACTGCTCTTTGAGGATATCTGAGATTGTGTTTGAGAAATATTTTTTAAAAAGTTTAAATATTTTTTATTTTAAATTAATATATTTTTAATATTTTTAAATTATTTTGATATACTCATTTTAAAAATAATTTTAAAAATATAAAAAATATTATTAACATATTTTTCTAAATAAAAAATACTTTTAAAAAATAAGCACAGCCATTATCTTAAACACACCACACTCTTTATTACCCATCAAAGGATTAAAAGTCTTGTGGGTCACATGCATGGCTTCCTTGGAACATTGCTATTCCTTGCATGGTATAGTAAAAGAAGTCGCTTCATGCATGGGCAAGACATAAGTCGCTTCATGCATGGGCAAGACATAAGTCGCTTCATGCCTTCTTAGTTCCTTCACAAGCACGTGTCCTTCCTATTATACTACGGTGATGGTCTAAATCCAGCAGACATGATCAGAAATAAATTAACCATGCAACCGGATCAATATTATAAACATCCTCAAGGTCTAATCCTGCAAAAGATTAGATATTAATTGTTTAGTTTAAATTATAAATACGATGATTAAAACTAGCATAGCATGCGAGTTTATAAATCTATATATGTATGACTCATCTATCTAATCTTATCACAAGTAGCCTACGAGGGAGGGCTCAAGGAAAGCAGTAAGCCTCCCTCCCAGACCAAGGATTGGTCAATATTTTACATGTAAATAAATAAAAGAAAACACGATTAATTAATCTTAATCCTAAACACGCAATTAGATCAATTTAATCCTCAACATGCAAGCACGATCCACAGCTCTAAACGTGATTTAATTAAGATTAGATCAAATAATCAACCCCTTCCCGCCACAAAGAACACACCTCTCCTCTGTTTCCCGCGATTTTCCTTCACGAAAAACGACACCGTCGCTGCCCTCCCTTCAATTCAATTAAAGGACGCAGAAGAGAAATCCCCCCTGAAAATAAAATTATTTACACAAAAAGGACATTTCATGATTTATAGGTAGAGATCCATGCATGGTTTTATCCACAACTGTAAAATTATTTTCTGGTGTCGTCGAGGGTGGTTTTACAGTTGTGATGGAGTCACCCGACACGTCCACCTTCACCCCCAAGGACACGAAAGTAATTCACCATACCAAAGGAATGGCATCCTTGTAATATTTTTAACCCCCAAGACTTAATATGAAAGGCAAAACCCCCCATATATTTTCCTCTAGAAAGCTCGACTTCTCTTCGCGCTCTCAAATTTTTTCTAAAAAAATCTTCATTTTCTTCAATCAATTTTTGTAAGCTCCCCCCCCTCCCCCTCCC